CTCTCTCTCTCTCTCTCTCACACACACACACACACACACACACACACACACACACACACACACACACACACACACACACACACCGCCCCCTCCTGCTCGATATGGTCTTGAGTGGAAGGACACTACTGAGCAAGATGGGTCGTGTGTTTTCCTTGGGGCAAGAATCCTGGTTCGGCCGGATGGCTCACTTCGCATCGGCGTCTTTGATAAGGCTGAGGCCTGGACATTCCCTGTCATACGCTACCCCAGCGCTTCCTCTAATGCCCCAGCTCATCAGCCTGCAGGTGTGCTCACAGGGCAGCTGACACGATTTGAACACATCTGCAACAATACTGCCGACTTTAAGGCTGCAGTGACTTCCCTCACACGACGAATGCTCATTAGAGGCCATCCCCCCAGTGTCCTGGCCAGAGGTTGGAATGCATACGTGCGCGGTCGGCAGCGCCGGTTACCCACTCATGTTACACGGCTTTCGAACTGGTTTCGGCRCATGGTACGCTGGGCAATTGCCCACCCACTCCCGAATGCAAATTCTGTTCGCAGGTCTTTCGCACAACCGCACGCAATAGGAAACATCCCGCAGCCCGACCAACATCAGCCCTCCACAGCTGAAATTCCAAATGCTAATGAGAATATGCCAACCCGACAGGAGACCGGACCAATCGCAACAAATTTGGCCGAAGTGGCTGCAAGGGAGGAGGGCCAGCATCCTACGAACACGGTGGCAGTTCCACCGCCGCCATCGCCGCCATCACCACCTCTGCCACCACCACCGCCATCATCATCACCACTACTGCCCCCTGCCCTATCACCACCACCCTCCCCACCACCTTCAGCACCACTATCGCAGCCGCCGTTGCTGCCAGCATCATCGTCATCAACCTCAACATCATCATCACCATCATCACATTCATGGTCGGATCAGCTACGACAAAGGCCCAGTCGGCGGACGCGTACGACATTGGACCAACCATTGCAGATGCCTCTTCGGCGGKTCCATTCTCCGTCTCCACCGCCGTCCCCAAGACAGCGGCCTCGTCTAGCCGTGAACGGCTTGATCACCGCGCCTCCAACGGTTACTAGAGATTTGCTCCGCCGACATGCTCGCAACCGTTCGGAACGACAGCGTCGCCTTCGAATACACAGTAGCCAGGAATAGTACACGCCGAGTCCGATGCCCGCAATGTGGGGATGATTTCTTCAGTGTTGCAGGCCTCCGTGTGCACCAGACACGAGGTGCAGCTACTTGTGCAGCATTTGCACGGCTGGCAGCCGCTCTGAGCACAAGTGCAGCTGATCAGCTTCCGTTTTTCGCATCTGACCCACCCAGTTCTCACCCCCCTGACCCGCCCCTTTCTCATCCAACTAGCCCCGTTTCTTCCCCTGCCCCAAATGACATTGACCCGTCTTCTGGCTACCTGATGGAGCCCCGGATTGAAGATCGTCTCTCTCCGGAGCGCATACTAGAGCCAACTGGTCAAGACCACAATGAGTCTCCTCCACCTGTGCAATCTGCAGAATCGAACGAATCTCCTCCTGCTGTGAACGAATCTCCAGCACAACCCGCGGAATCCAACGATGTCATAGCGCTACAGCGAGGCCAATGTGCGTACTATGCCATCAATGCATGTCTCCTTGCCTACAATTGTAACCCTTATTCGGTTGCTGATTTCACAGACGTTGTCCGCTGGATAGAAGAAGAGCACCGTGCCGTATGCCCAGAGGACGACAGTGCTGCACCTGGTGTGAACATAGAAGCCCTGGCTATGGCATTTATGGGTAGGCGACTACAATTCCAGCCTTCCCCTCAAAACCACGTGCCAGGCATGTATCCAAATATTCGGGCATATATCTTATATCGTCCAGGTCATTTTAGTGCTTTTACCTTTGCAGATAACTCATGGACCCTATGGGGCAACGGCGGCAGGATGCACACAACAGGAAATGTTAATTCTTTCTATCACCAAATGGAGGAGGGTCACGCAGTCTGGCTCGTCCATCAGGAACAGTATGTCGATCACCACTCGCAAGCACTACAGCCCCTGCAGAGCAATCTGGCTGGT